TTTTTTAAAAAAAAGGTTTTGTTCTACCTTGTAACCCATCTAAGAACTGATCAAAACAAGCCTAGCTTAAAACACACATGTATATATAGGCAGGTGAGCATATGTGTCATGCCCCTGGCGAAGACTGACAGGGAGAGGAGGAACAGCCGACAGGGAGTGGAAGTGTGGCTCCGGAGGTTGTGGAGGAGGCTGGGGAAGGGCAGAGGCCGGCCGGGCAGTCAGAGGAGGACCCAGGCCCATCCCCTATCTATCCTAGGGTACACAGGGAGGAGAGGATAAGGGAGAGATGTGGTCTACTCGGGAGGAGAAGGCCTTGATCCTCTTCATGGACTGCAGCTGTGACAACTGAATAAAAGTACGGACCTGCGTACAGGCGAATGCTGGAGACAAAGTGTGGAAATATCTCTAGTTTATGGTTTCTCTCTGAGTTTGGCGTCCTTCCCAGTGTGTGTTATCTGTGGATCTCCTCCAGCCCTTATCTTGCCTGGTTTGTGTTGCTTTTTCCCTTCTTCTTGTAACTTTGGGAGTTTTTTGGCTTCTGTCAAGAATATTCAGAGCTTGGAAGCAAAGTGAAGGAATAAAAGGGGCTTCACCTGTTTTCTGTGACTGTGTTTGTTTTGTATCCATCCTGGGTCATCACATTATGCACTGAAAAAATATTCTGAGTGGAAGAACAAAATGGACATCTTAATTTGTTATTAGTTTAGCATCCCGTGTATCTGTCAATTGGATATAATCATTGTGATCAAAAACCACTGGCAGAAAAGCTGAGCAGAAAAAAGACAACCCACTTTAAAAGTGATATGCGTTGAACAGCACATTCCCTTCAGGTAATAGACATCTACAGAAAGTAAAATGTTTGCTGTAAAGTAAATAAATATAAGGATTTATGAATGAATGCAAAATTGTTCTTGCAGAATTCTTGCTTTGTCTGAGATGCACGGCGTTTATAGAAAGAAGAATGGGGGTGCCCATAAATATAATTTGTTGTGAGAACTACGGTAACAACTAGTTCGAGGGCCAGCATTGGGCAACCAGGAGACCATGAATTCTAGTCCTGCCCTTGAGGCACGAAGCGAACTGGGTGACTTTGGGCCAGTCCCCCTATCACAGCCCTAGGAAGAAGGCATATTGCAAACTGTTTCCAAAAAGTGTGGCTAAGAAAACGGGCTAATCTGGGCAGGGGTTAATATGGACTGGAAGGAAACATACAAAATACAAAAAATATTTTAAAAGGATCTGTTATTGACTTGAAGAATCTAGTTTCAGGATTACTTCTATATCAGGCTGCAGCTGAGCTTCGACAGAAGGAGATGAAACAAAGTGTTCAAGTAATTTTAGCTGGAGTTTGTTGGAATTTTCTCTGTGTCCTAAATCAGGAGTCTCCAACTTGGCAACTTTAAGACTTGTGGACTTCAATTCCCAGAATTCCTCAGCCAGCCTGCCCTAAATCAGATGATTGGGAATTGTAATCTCAAATGAGAAAGCCCATTAGAAGACTAGCTAAGGCTTTGTATTGATGGGAAAAAGTATTTTGTAGCTCAAATATTCTATTGATACAAGGCCTTAGGTCTGGGTTAAATGATGGTGCTCTCTAAGGTTGGTTGATTTCTTACAGGCATTTCATTATCCAACTAGGTCATAACATCAGTGTCTCGTATTTCAGTTTAGCACTGGGGAGCACAGCTATACACACTCTGAAATAATATGTACAAAACTTTTTCCTTGAAGTAGACAATTCTCACAACTTGGAAGAAGCTAGACTTGTATATTAATTCTACTTAGGACCCCACTTCCTTAAGTGAAAATCATTCTAGAATGCAGCTTAGGCTTGGCTCCAGGAAGGTTGGTGGAGCTATATAGTTACTTTTTTCCAATTTATATCTTTTTAAACTACCCCAGAAGAACATTGGATCCAAAATATGATTCTGCGAATTAATATAAATCTCAGTTCCATTTAGGATTTGATACAATAACTTTGATCACGTAATGTTCCCTTGTAGTTAGTCTCTCTGTCCCAAGTGTGTAATGGAAATATTTGTAATTTATTTCATCAATTTGTTGCAAAGATTACCAAAGCCAGGAAATATAATTCCTCTTCTTTAAGAATAAACAATATAGCATGTTTAAAATAGGACAAATATAGGCAGTCCTTATTTAGCAACTGTCTCATATATTAACCATTTACGATTGCAATGCTGCTGAAAAAATAACTTTGTGACAAGTCTTCACATGTATGACTTTTATAGGTCAGTAAAGCAAAGAATAGCTGAAATAAGATCATAAGCGCAGCTGTAGTTTCACTTAATGACCATTTTGCTAAATAATTGAGTTACTGTTCCTAATTGCGGTTGCTAAATGAGGACTAACTATATAGCAATTTTCCCATATATTGGTCTATTTTTTAATTTACCCTCTGTTCTCATTGTTTCTTCCCTCTATTAAAAATAATAGTAGAAATAATTAGGTCTTTGCCTGATGTGAAAAACCAACATAGTCTATGTATTTTTCATGCCTTTATCTTCTCAAAGTCTCAGGAATTTACTCTTCTGGGTGGAATAACAAAACTGAAAGGACTTCACCAAAACTCTACGGAGAGAATCCGAGTCTTAGGTTCAACATTAATCTTTGATTGCTTTGTCCTTCTGTGGTTTGTGGTGCACAACTGGGAAGGAATCTAGAAACTGGAAAAGTAGAATTAAAATGAATTTCTTTTTCTTTAAAAAAAACAAACGAACCTTTTTTCTCAGAACGGAGTCAGTAGAAGATGGTTGACACCCAAGAGGGAAAATTATGAGTGGATTCAGAACTATTTCTATTGTAAGAATTGTGCTCATCCTATTAAATAAGCCCAATAGTTTCACCTCTCCGCATTTGGGTCAGGCTAATCCATTTGGGTGCAGGAGACAAGTATTAGCCTACATAATCCATTAATTTACCACCTAGAAATGGATTGAGAAAGTCACACAACCATTAGCCATTATTCCCTCTCGATGATTACAACTGTCTTTATTTTAGCAATGATCCAGCTTCTTATAAGGATGGCAATTTGTATGGCTTGAGTTGGTCCAGGCAGGATGAGACCAGAGATCCAGTTAAGTTGAACAGGACCACATACTTGAATGGAAAGAATTGGATTTTACAAGTTTCCACCTACAAAAGGAGGCTTATGCTAAAGAATGTAATTCAAGGGGAAATGATGCGAATTTCAGAGGGATCAGACGGTAACAGGAAGGAAATAAACTTTTTCCACAAGCTTTCCTCACCAAAACCATTAAGTATGAATACCCACAGTTATCACTGTATTACAGATAGACCTTGACTTACGACCACAACTGAGCCCAAAATTTGTTGCTAAGTGAAAAATTTGTTGAGTTTTGCCCCACTTTACAACTCTTCTTGCCACATTTGTTAAGTGGATCACTGCAGTTGTTAAATTAGCAACACATTTGTTAAGTGAATCTGGTTTTCTCCCTTGACTTTTCTTCTCAGAAGTTTGCAAAAAGAGATTCCATGACCCCAGGACATTGCAACCGTTGTAAGTCAGTTGTCAAGCATCCGAAGGTAAATTACATGGCCATGGGGATGCTGCAACAGTCATAACTGTGAAAAATGGTCATAAGTCATTTTTTTCAGTGCTGTTGTAACTTTGAACGGTCACTAAGAGAACTGTTGTAAGTCGAGGACTATCTGTATTTGCAAGAAGACATTTTCATCCCAGATTGGTTAATGTCCAACCCTTAAGGGTTGTCCCCAAGTCCCAACTCCCTGTCCCTTCCACAGAGCACCACCTCCACTTCCCTGAATGTTCTCAGCACTCACGGCAATGATTTCGAGAACTTCGTTCTTGCTGATCTCTCCACTGCGGTCTACATCGAAAAGCGAGAAAGCCCATTCCAGCTTAAGGTCAGTCTTGCCAGATGAGGTCAGATGCAGTGCGATGATGTACTCCCGGAAGTCAAGAGTCCCATCATCGTTGGTGTCAAAGCTTCGGAAGACATGCCGAGCATAGACCTTGGGGTCCGAGTTGGGGAAGAAATTGGCGTAGATCTTTTCAAAGTCAGCTTTACCGATGCGTCCATCGGGGCATTGTTTTTTGAAAGCATCATACCATTTGACCAGCTCGTCCTCAGAGTACTTTGTGTTCATTTTCAGATCATCAAGGATCTCCTTAGAGATCATTCCGCTCTTCTTATTTCCCATGGTTTGGTTGGATGCTCACTTCCTAACACTGCTTCACCAATGCTGCTAGAATTAGCCTTTCTCTCTTGCCTCTGCTGAGCTAGTGGAAGGGCGGGTGACCAGAATACCTTATATAGACTGCTTGGGATGGACCTTTGAACCTGCTGCTTGCCTCTCCTAATGGTCATGAATACACCAACGCGGATATCACACGTATAAAGGGAGAGACTATTTTGGTTGCAATGATCACAGTTTCTCCAAGCTCCTTAGCACAAAGAAAATCAGCTTTAGACATCACTGGCCTATCTGCCCTCCGCCCTCTCAATCCTTCTAGCCTCCTTTAACAGCTCAACTTTATTCAGATGGTGTCAGTCTCAAGATAAGCGTGGGTGCTGGGAATTTTTTTAAAAAAAACCCATGAATGGGGAAAGATGGACAGACAGATAGACAGGCCATCTTTGTCACTGATGTGTTGGTCACTAAAAAGCTACTAAACTATGTTTCAAATAGTACTTTAGGATTTAATTCTAGGAAGGATGGAAGGGAGGGAGGGAGGAATTATACATCAAGTTAAATTTTTTCTTGTCATCCTATTAGACCCACATCGAAAAATATCAGTAACCAAGAAATAGCTCCCTTTCTATATTTTCAAACTAACAGCTTTTCATTCAGATAAATAGGTGGGTTTTTTTTTCAGCAAAGTAAGCTTACATACCTAACAGTAACTACACAAAGACAGAGCTATATTTCAGTGCACACAATCAGTTACTGTATACAGACAGTCCTCGACTTACAACAGTTCGTTTAGTGACCATTTGAAGTTACAATGGCACTGGAAAAAAAAAGACTTAGGACCCTTTTTCACATTTATAACCTCAAACTTATAAACTTTCACACTTATAAAGCAGCATCCCCCATAGTCATGTTATCAAAATTCAAAAACTTGTCAACTGACTCATATTTATGACGGTTGCAGTGTCCCAGGGTCATATGATCCCCTTTTGCGACCTTCTGACAAGCCAAGTCAATGGGAAAATTAAGTTACTAACCATGTTACCAGTAGTAACTTAAAATGGGTCAAAATTCATTTAACAACTGTCCCACTTAGCAATAGGAATTTTGGCTTCAATTGTGGTCATAAGTCAAGAACTACCTGTACATGGCTACTCAAGAAATAAAAGAAAGCTTTGTTGGGTGTTTTTTTATGAATGTGTACCACGAGTAATGTAATTACATACATGAACAAGGAGTCCTCAGCTTATTACATTGGGACCATAATTTCCATTGCTAAACAAGGTGCTAGTTACTCCTTGAATAGCCATGGAACAACCATGGGAAAAGCTTATAAAATCAGGCATGGTCATAAGTCAAGAACTATCTGCATTTTAGTCTGCATTCATGGGGAAGAAGGGAGTGTAAATGGAATAAAATCCGTTTACGATTGAATCTCATTAGAGTACAGGCGATAAATCGGAGAGGCTTAAAGCTTCTCATGCTGGATCTAGAATGTTCTTCTCATTGCTTACACACTCCTTCTAATATGCCTCTTCTGAAAAACTGCCAGCAACAGCTCTTGCCTTATCGTCCCTCTTACAACAGAAAAACAAACAGAGTAACAGTTGGAAGGTATCTTGGAGACCTTCTGGTATCTAGTCCATACCTCTGCCCTCAGACCATTCTGGACAAATAGGTTGTCCAATATCTTAAGTGTTTGAGCATCCATATTTTTGAAGGCAAGCTCTTCCACTGATTAATTGTTCTGCCAAGAAATTCCTTAGTTCTAGGTTGCTTCTCTCCTTGATTAGTTTCCATCCATTGCTTCTTGCCTTGCCTTCAGGTGCTTTGGAAAACAGGTTGAACCCGTCTTCTTTATGGAAATCCCAGAGATATTGGAACACCACTATCATGTCGCCCCAGTCCTTCTTTCCATTAAGCCAGACGTGTCATATGTTTTCAGTCTCCAGTTCCCTTGTGTAGTGAAATCATGTTTCTCTGGCTCTTCAGTTTGGCCAAGAGACATCAAGAGATTCACTCCCAAACTTCCCACCTCAATTTCTGTTAAAGCAATTTTTTGAGGTAATATGGCGTAGTGGATAAGAAGAAGCTCTGGGTTCAAGTCATTCTTAGCCACTCAGGCTCACTTAAATGGAAAAAAATGGGCCATTTAAACACTCTCTTAGCAAAGCTGCCCCACAGGACTGTTGTAAGAATACTCCCAAAACCAAATGCTAGATGCATGCTACCTGCAAACTTCAAAGCAGGATGAACATTTTACATATAAATAAAACTTGACATACTCAAGAGGTTAATGGCTTTGGTCCACCGCTAATTTGGCTGTCCCTTGCTACCTTCAACCATATGTTCAATCCTCTTTGCCCTTCCAGATCTGTCAGTAAAGCAGTATTAATGTCAAATGAAATTCATCAAGATTCAGCTGAGTGCCTGTACATTCATGTGTTCGCTTGTGCGCAGGTACAGTAATGATCTTGTTATCATGCTCTATTCCAGTTCATGAATATATTCTGACACTCCTCCCTTCATAACTGGAATAGACATAAATCCAATTAATATTTAATTCAATATTCTTCAGATACCTGTATCTGAAGACCCACATTCACAGTTCCCTCCAAATACCCGAGAATCCCTTTTTATACTTAATTCAACATAATTGTGTTGATCCCCACCTGCATCCTACAGCTTTGCTACACTGTGGCAAAGTCATAGATGTGAATACTTCATGTTCTCCCATGCATTTCATTTCCTTGTCCATGGCTTCTTTCCACTTTATTTGGTTAATTTTAGGTAATGCCAATACTTCTTAGAAGTTCCTTGGCTCATACCATACATTACACACTTTAACTTCACTAGCAGAATACCTGTCAGGTGGAATCCCCTTGTTCCTTCACTCTGACCTGCATGGCACTGACTGCCGTTGTGTGTCAACCCGCTCTTGCTTATCTTGTTCAGCTTCTCCTCCCTAAACACTGACATCATCACTAAGTGAATTACCATCACTAAGTGAATTACCATCACTAAGTGGATCACTGTCACTAAGTGAATCATTCCACAAATTTGCATCAGTTCTGTTCCAATTTTACTCTGCAAAGCTTGCAGACCTAGAAAACACTATTCTTTTGCTCCCATTGCGATAACTCTTTGAGCCTGGCTCATAGCCCACAAACCTGAGCTTTCTAGCTTTTGTGTTTTATTCCTAACTTTCTTCTAATTGCTTTTGGAACATGCACCTACGGATTGCTTCCAAACACCTTTAAATGTGCTTGAGATGGTTTTCTCCCATGTAGCACTGCATATGGAGTATCATTAATGGAGGAACTCCACAACCTATTAATTACATAATTAGCAGTCAATATGGCTTCAGCCCAATATGACCTGCTTAGACCAGAATCCTCTAGCAGTGAGTCCTTCATGGTTTGCAAGACTCCATTCCATCTTTCAGCAACACCATTTCTCAGCTGCTGTGCCATTCTTGTGCATCTGTGTAATATTTCTTACTGTGCCAACCACTGTTGAAAACCTGTTGACATGAATTTTGAACCTCTGTCAGTTTGCAGCTGACATACGTGTTGTTTATACCTTCTTTCTACAAAGCTTACCCATTGCTTAAATTTCTATAACACCTCTGTTTTACTCTTTAGTAAATAGCAGAACCCAAACCTGCTATAGTAATCTACAATGACCAGCGCATACTTAGCTCCTCCCAAACTGGCTTGCATTGGGCCCATCAAATCTACATATACCAGCTCTACAGCTCTTGTTGTCTGCCTTGTCCTACTCTTGCTTACTGGGAATGCCTTGGACTTTGATGTTTTGCATACTGCACAATCCAAATATGTCTTACATCCCTTTAAATGCAATCCTTCTGCATACTGGTCCATTTTTTGAACAACTGTAAAGCTGGCCTGCCCAAGCTTTCTGTGCAAAAGATGAAAACATGAATCATATTTTGCAACATTGCCAAATGTTTGTGCACATTGAACTTTTTGTTCCTGTAACTTATAAAGATTATCATGCTTTATGCCCTTTGCACAGACAATTCCATTTTCCTTTATAAGACACTGCCCATTTACAAATGTAGTCTCAAATCCTTGCTTGTCTAAACTAGAGACACTTAGCAAATTATGTTCCATTTCTGGCACACATAAAACATTATTAAACCTTGTTTCCAAATGTGGAATTTGCACAATGTCTCTTCCAATGACTTTAGCCTTCTTGCCATTTGCCAAGGCTGCTGTGTCTCCAGCAGTTGCATCCATCCTATAAAACAATTTAGCATTATTAATAATCATTTGACTAGCCCAACTGTCTATTAGCCATTGATCTCTGCTGGAAGACTTGACTTCTGGTATTGCAATTTGTTCATCAACTTGTCTGTCTTGCATACTGCTTCTTCTGTCTTGCAAACTGTTTCTTCCTTGCAAACAGTCTTTCTTTAAGTGAGTCCTCACACCACAGATAAAGCATTGTCTCTGTTGTTGGGCTTTCTGCTTAGCTGTAATTTGATATCCTCTGCTGCTCTTCTCTTCTCTGGAGACAGCCGTTCTATGGAATTTTCCATTCTGCTCCTTGGGTCCCCTTCTCGGGAATTTCTTCTTGTGGCTAATTAAGCTTTAAGGGCTTCTAAGTGCAGCTCCTGCTCTGGTTTGCATTCAAACACAGCAGAAATAATGTCCCAAGTTTCATCTAGGCTGTTCAAAACTAGCAACACTTTCTGAGATTCAGAAATCTTCATCCCATGTTATTCTAACTCCACAAAGTTTGCATATGAACAAAATGCTGTTTCACTAAATCTTGCGGCTGCAAACGAGCTCTTTATAACTTAATAATTGTACAATGTTGCATGCAGATGCACTCATATGAACAGTCCTGAATTTATCCCAGACTTCCTTTGCAGTCTTTAAATCAGCTACATTGATAAACTGATCATCTTCTAAACTTAAGATAATGTAAGCAAATGCTCTATCATGCAGTTTCTGATCTGCAGCATTCAATGGTGCTTGGGGTGGATTTTCAACAATATTCCAAACCTTTATAGCTTTTAGGAAAAATTCCAACTTTGCAGCCCAAATAATATAGTTCTTCTGACCCAAATAGGGTAGAGAGCTCTCTTTAATTTTTTCAGCCATCCTGCAAAGTCTTGTTTCTTATTTTTAAAATAGGCAGTCTCTCAGCTTTAATTACAATTCAGTCTTTTTCTGGACTTCTGGGCCCATAACCTGTTCAGAGTTTTGCAGCGTAAATTCAGCGCCAGAAAAATAAATACAGATGGCTGATGCTTCATTTAATATCTTTATAAACATATTAAATAAATTTTACAAACCAGTTGTAGATTTCTCCAACATGGAGCAAATTCAAACAGAAACAGACATCAGTTTCACTTTAGTTCAGCAGGCAGGCAAGCAAGATACACAGCAGAGGAGAGAAGCAGTTTTATTTCAAGAGACAGATTCAGAGGTCAACATAGCTTCAGAGCTTAATATATAGCCATGCCTAGGCTACTTCTAGTTTCAGTTTCCGGACAGTCCTCATTGTCTGACTTAGTTGCTATCCTATTCATTGGCTGGCCTTGTTACCATGCTCTATTCCAATTCATGAATATATTCTGACATAGATGGGCCAATGTTTCACTAGCATATAGTTCAGCATATCATCAGCCAACTAAATGGCTTATGTGTATAGAAAGAAGTACAACTAATGTTCAACTTACAATCATTCATTTTGGGTCTGTTCAAAGTTACAATGCCACCAAAGAAAGGAAATGATAGGTAGTTTTCGACTTATGACTACAGTTGAGCCCAAAAATTTATATTGCTAAGCAGCACACTTAAGTGAGTTTTGACCTATTTTAGGATCTTTCTTGCCACCATTGTTAAGAGAATCATTGCAATTATTAAATCACTAACACTGTTTTTAAATGAATCTGGCTTCCCCATTGACTTTCTTTGTCAGAGAATTGCAAAAGGTGATCACATTATCCTGAGACACTGCAATCATTGTAAAAACATGCCAGATGCCAAGCGCCCAAACTTGGATCATGTTAGTGACGCTGCAACAGTTTTAAATGTGAAAAACAGTCATATGACATCTTTTCCAGTGCCGTTGTAACTGCAATGAATGGTTGCAAGTCAATGACTACCTATATGAGAGATCCTCGCACTTATGACTACTGTAGATCCCCATACTCATGTGATCAAAATTCAGATTCTTGGCGACAGGCATGTATTTACAATGATTGCAGCATCCTAGGGTCATGTGATCATCATTTGCAATCTTCCCAGCTGGCTTCCGATAAGCAACATCAATGGTGAAAGTTGGATTCATGTAGTGATCATGTGATTCACGTATCAACTTCAGTCATTTGATTAACAACTGTGGCAAAACAGGTCATAAAATTGGGCATGACTTCTTCAACAATTGCCTGTCAGGTTTCCAAGTGATGAAACCCATTTAAAAAGAAGTGAGCAAAGTCTATCTGCCAAAACAATTTTTTTTTATTTAGGTAAGCATCAAATTGGCAAAGTTGCTGTAATTCCGGATCTGACACAAACCGGAATTACACCACATAATAATGGAAATTAGAAACAGCCCCAGTTGTCAAGTTCAGGCTCGATACCACCTTGCTTAGCAACAAAAAATTGTGGTTCCAATTATGGTTGTAATTTCTGGACTTTTATTTATTTAGCTTATGGTGCACGTTAGCCAGGGATCACCAAGGTGGCTGGCTGCCTCTGTGAAAGGAATTGTTTTGTTCCAATTGTGATTGTAATATCTGGACTACCTGTAGGCAAGTGACCTTGTAAATCTCTCTCTTTCATTACAACAGGTAAACAGAAATTCTTCTACATTGTAGGAGAAACATCTGTGGATCCATTTGAAACTCCTTGAGATTCTGCTGACTGATCAGAGCTAAAGACCCAGCCTTTAGATTTCAGATCTCTAACTTGTGGAAACTTCCATACTTAACTATGTGCTGAGGAACTTCTAAATTTAGTGACAGTTTTGAAGCAATAGATGGAAAGTAATCAAGGAGAGAATCAACTTAGAACTAAGGAGAAATTTCCTGACAATTAGAATAATTAATCAGTGGAATGATACAGTTCTACAGAGGAATTATTGAGTCTATCATCTGCACCTCTATAACTGTCTGGCTTGGTTCTGAAACTCATCAGGAAAGACACAGACTTCAGATAATTAGGGCTGCAGAAAAAACAATTACTACCCACCTGCCTTCAATCGAGGACCTGTATACTGCAGGAGTCAAAAAGAGGGCTGTGAAAATATTTACAGACCTCCTCACATCTCAGACATAAACTGTTTCAACTCCTTCCCTCAGAACGACGCTATAGAGCACTGCACATCAGAACAACTTGACACAAGAACAGTTTTTTCCCGAAAGCCATCACTCTGCCAAACAAATAATTCCCTCAACCCTGTTCAACTATTTACAAAGTGTGCACTACTATTACTGTTAATCTTCTCATCACTCTTTATCACCTATCCCCTCCCACTTGTGATTGTAGGACTGTAACTTTGTCAATTGTAACCTTACAATTTATATTGACTGTTTCCTAGTATGATTTGATTATTGATTGTACCCCATGACTATCATTAAGTGTTGTACGTTATGATTCTTGATTCTTAACAAATATACCTTTTCTTTATTTATACTGAGAGTATTTACACCAAGACAAATTCCTTGTGTGTCCAATCACACTTGGCCAATAAAGTATTCTATTCTATTCTAGAAGTTGTAGGTGCTCCAATACTGGAGGTTTTTAAGAAGAGAGCGGACAGCCATTTTTCTGAAATGTTATAGGGTCTCTTGCTTGAGCAGGGGGTTGGACTAGAAGACCTCCAAGGTCCCTTCAACTCTGTTATTCTGTTATCTCCTTGCTTACAGCTTTACAAAACACTTCTCCAACATGGTCATAGTTCTAAAGCTAGATTTGCAAACATCTTAGATAATTCAACTTCATTTCCACATTCTACAAAAATTAGGATGTGATTTATTCGCAGGTTGTGAGAACAGGGAGCAAAATGAAGCAGATGAAATCCCAGATGTAAGTTCAGGTCTCTGGAATTTCTAGATTTGATCTGGGATCTGGTTTATACCTGATCAGCCAGAACCAGATCATAAGCAGAAAACAGGGGGTTCTATTGTAATTTCAAACTGTTGCTAAACTATTGGGCCTAAATCAAGGACTACACATATGGAGTTGGAAGGAACAGTGATAATCTAGTTCAGTTCCAAACCATTTTAACCAGAGGTGTCCAACTTCGGCAACTTTAAGACTTGTGGACTTAAACTCCCAGAATTCCCCAGCCATCCCCTTGATTTAAATCATCCTTGTGAAGTGGCTGTTAGGATCCTTAATAATCCTCCAGAGAGGAAGAGTTCACCAATTCCATATCTCAAATCCTTGCGTTTGCTGTACAAATCTTACCATCAGAAAGGTTTTTTCGGCCTAGTATCTAGGCAGCTGTAACTTTTACCCATTACTTCAGTCTCCCTAATGCCCATCTCACCTCACTCAGGCCAGGCCCAACAAAAATGAAAAATGGTACCTTTTTATAAAGTTTAAGATGAAATTCAAACCATACTGCTAACTTTTATTCTTTTTCTGTTTAACATTTCTACCCTTTTCACTCACTCCACCTTTTCCACCGAGAGCTTTAAATTTGGATGCAGCTTCTATATTCTAAAGTCACTTGGTGCTCAGACTGTTTTCTTCAGCTCTGAAGAATTCGTGGAAGCTTATCAGGGGCTCTCTCAGAAGAATGTCAATTTACATTTATAAATTACAGGTTATTGAATGGAGTCCGCCAATTTATTTACAGCACTCTCTGGCTGGCTGGGTGTGTACCTACAGTGGACAATGTACTCCATTCCTCTCTCTGTGTATTGTATCCAAGTTTCTCTGATGGCCACTAAAGTTACAGGAACTCCTTAATTGCCACCTTATCAGTCCATCATCCGTATTCCAGGATGATTGACACAGAAACCAGGGTGGGGGAGCCGGGAACCAAATTTAAGATCTGCAGCAGCAGCAACAGCAACCAGGCTGGTAGGAGAGACCAACTGAGTTTTGTCTGGTGCTGAGTTGAGTGGAATTCAAAGAAGACAGAAAGCAGGATCGTGACCAGGCGCTAAGGATCCGGAACAAATGGGAGGGAGATAATTTATCTACAAGGAATAGTGACTTGCAGCTAAGGTGAGTAAGAAAGAGATGGACAAGGATATGCTTAGGAGTTACCCTAAGATTTGCACATCGCAGCAAAGGTTACCTTCCAAATTGGGCTGCTATTGTGTCAGGGTGTGTGTGTGTGTGTGTGTGTGTG